ATGATGAAAGGTGAAAATGGTTGATATTATATGCGAACGATAAATAAAGGCAACAGTAGTATACCGCTGTTCGAAACTCATAAATCGATAGAGATAAAAACAAATCCGGGTTACAAACTAAAACTGAGGGAAACGCATCAAATATAAGAGATGAACAACGACACAACAAAAACACAACATTAAAATGTAACACACACAGAAACGAACTATAATATAACAATGGCCATTTTCCTGACTTGGTACAGGACATTTTAAGAAAAAAAAGGTGGGTTGAACCTGGTTTTGTGGCATGCCAAACCTCCCGCTTTTATGGCAACGTCAAACACAACACCAAAACGACAACATCACATGACAGGACCACAATACAAATAAATGGGAGAACATATAGGACAAAGAAACACACGAATAATAGCTAACAAAAGGTACTAGGCTTAAAATTCAATACGCCAGACGTGGAACTTAAGAAAAAAGGATTAATCGAAAAGTCAGGGAAAGCGACATTTTTTTCTTGCGTATTATATAAAGCATTTGCCATGCATTTTTTTCGTTTTAGGTTTTTTTTTACGTTAAACAGCTAAAAATCCACTTTTACCCATTGTACGTCCGTTACTCACGTTAGGTATAAAACTGTATGTAAAGTATGTCACAAAACCGTCAATATTTTCTTTAATATAACCATTGAAAAGGATGATGAAAATCTCCCTTCTTTATACTGGATACCAAAAAGTTCACAAAATCCTTATAGAGAACTATATATTGCCGACTCATCTAGATGTTCTAAAGTTAAAACAGCCAAAAGATGGCCTACACAAATATTGTAATGAGGCAAATAACCAGCAGTGTTCATCAAATGTGATTTCCGAAAAATTAGACCTAATTTAATTTTTTCAATCATAATTCTTACACGTTTGCAATAGTATCAACACTTTTTGATATTTTGATATCTCTACGCATCTGTTATACATGCTCAGTCGTAAGATCGTCTACGTCTTCTCGTTAAGCAGTGGTTTTTTTTTCTTCTATAATGATGGGAATCATAGATACAAATAACAAACTACTTTGTGAAGAGTTTCTTTGATTTAAACAACAAAAACATCTTAGAAGATGTTATCAAAATGCTGGAATTTTTATCGACAACATACTGTGGTTGAGTTAATTGGATTGTTCTTTCAGCAAACAGTCGTCATATCAATGGGTTTTAATTGTCCATGCATACTGGCCGACTACATTTTTACTAAAATAAAGCAAAATCTTTTCAGAACCTTTTAAAAGACAGATTGAAACTTCCTCTTGCCAAGATGGTTAATTTCCCTTCTAGCTAATTTGATGATATCCGGTCAAAATCCATCATTATAGACTGGTTAGTGATTTGGCTCAAGTTTGGTTTCCAATGATCATCAACTTCGTATTTAATTTTACTTTTGTACATTTTTTTGTTCGTGCGCCAAGGTTTATCTTATATTAATGCACCGTCAAAATTTCATGTTTGGTTAAATTTCTTCAAAATACTGGTCTGGTCGTCTGTTGTATATTGCCCTTTCATACTATTTTAAACTGCTAGGTTTTCTTACATATATTTCGATGTGCCCCGTGCTGTCTATCATTTGTGTTTTAGTTTAATATGTATTGTCTTTCATTTGTTGTTTCTAAATTATTAGTCTTCTGTTAGGCAATGTATGACAAATATATGTTGGAAAACCTCGCCCGTAATTATAAATTATGTAATTCATTGACCGCTCCCGACATGTGTAACTTCAAGGCATATTTTAGCGGCGATCGATGTCTTTCAAAATTACTGCACTTTTCTTGTATCCCTGGTTCTTTCGACTGGAGAACCGTCGTACACAAGCATCGCACAAGTTGGCACTCCGAGGCGGGTGGGGAGCAAGAAGGTGAACTGTGGTTTATTTTTATCAATAGTACCGCTTAAGTCGACGCTAGAGGCCGACTTGACTTTGATGAAAGGTTTGAATGATTCGTTCATTGTTAAAGTCCCTACATCAACTGTCAAGATGAAGAACAGGAATAAAAGCCCTGTTCATTGATAATTTTCTATGTTCTCTATGTATTGTGTGCGATTTTGTCCCATGTACATTTACTCCATATCCTTTCATTTTCTATTAGTCTTGTCCCAACGAAACGAGTGTCTGGCGTACAAAATACAAGTATGGCACATTGATGATTATTGTTTCAAATATCTAAATCGTTTTATTAATACTGACATAGATTGACAACTTCCAACTAGGATCTGTAACAAACGTAACGATTTCCTATTTCCCATCATTAAACTTTCAATTTTCGGCAGTAAAATACCCTCCACTCGTTCGTATGGTGTCTACATATCTCAATTGACATATTACACAAGCGCATTATACTGACTTCATTCAAAAGAGTGTGCTCCAAACACAAAAACTGCCCCAGCGGGGTTATGAGAATAATTTTCACGGTCATTAAATATGTGTGTTTTTCAACTAAAAAGCGAAATTTCCGCGGTCTTATATCTTTGGGTACAAGAAAAGTCATATGATCTGTGTGTAAATTTACCGATTGTGTACAATTCCCTTTTGTGAAAATTTGACTGAGTGAAGATTTGCATGGCGGGTAATTCATGCAAAGCAGGTGAAGTTTACCCTATCGACGCATCTGGTCTTGCTCCATTTGAAGTTTATGCAGTTTCATGGAGGTTTTTTAATCTAAGCTAGTATATTCTTAATGGATTAACGATATTTGAATATCGGCAAACTACTATTGCCTGTGATTAAGGTCAAATTTATAATATAGTTTAATATTTTCATACACATTTATTTTGGTGAATTTTAATGCCATGAACAGACAAAATAGAATGATAATGCAGAAGGGTAGGTATATAACTTAATGGGGCATACGGTTAACTAAGAGATGCATTGTAGTGCATTAACTGTCAAAAAGTGTAACAATAAATATTTGTCTCTGCCACATACAGACTCTTGTCTAAATAAGCTAAACTTTCTGAGTTATGTATGGCTGCATGTGAAATGTGTCATACGGTGACCTATACTTGTTAACTTCTACGTAATTTGGTATCTGGTAAAGAAATGTCTCATATGCAATCACACCCCATCTTTTTGTTTTTATATCCATATATGACTGGTTAAAGTTACTTCTTTTTACTTTTGTTTTCATATGATACCACATATAATTTTGTAATGTTCACTGCGATTGTGATGACGGTAAGGGGGAGAGAAAAGCAAATATCTGCTAACAGCATAAGTGGTATCAACTCATCAAATATTGCGTTGTAAGGCATAATTACAAACTTATATTCGTTATATATATTACATAGTAACTTATCTTTGCATCATAGGTTTCATGACTGGGTTCCATTTCATCGTCTGTTTGTTGAAGTGTAACGGAAGTATTTAATTCCGGGGAAATAGCTTTCTAATTTGTGTACCCAACTCAGGTAAACATATTTGAACACCGGGGTTGGACAATAAAAATGGCATCAACTGAAAAAAGTAGACTAACAAAAATACCGAACTCTAAGGGAAATTCAAAACGGAAAGTCCTTAATTAAATGGCAAAATCAAAAGCTCAAACACATCAAACGAATTGAAAAGAACTGTCGTATTCCTGACTTGGTACAGGCATTTCCTAATGTAGAAAATGGTGGATTAAACCTGGTTTTATAGCTAGCTAAACCTCTCACTTGTATGACAGTCGCATAGAATTCCATTATATTGACAACTTTTATAGCTAGCTAAACCTCTCACTTGTATGACAGTCGCATAGAATTCCATTATATTGACAACAAGGTGTGAGCAAAACAAACAGACATAATAGATAAAAATGTCCAAAATTGGGGTTCATCAGTCAACATTGTAATATAATCTTAATCACTATAAAAACAGTTAACTATTTCAACAAGGAAAACAAAATGAACACATTTTTCAAAGTTCCCAAAAATCTTTTGATGTGTCTTTATGATGATACAAATTTGTGCTGCCGTCCCTTCCGAACACTTCTGGTAATTACTAACACGTAACAAACAAGCAATAATAAATAGTGGAGGTCATAAAAAAACAATGATTTAAACAAAAGACTAACGAGCTAGGAAAAATAAATAAAACTAGTACAAAAACGTACAAATTACACACCATTACGTGAAAAGAATAGAGAAAACAGATTTACAACTTTGTTTACAATAATATTTATATAAAAAAGTAAAACATTTGCACATATAATATAAATATTTTTTTTTACAATTAATGAATCATATTACTAGAAAGTGAATTATACTGTGTAATGAAATCAACAGTTACTTGAGACAGAATTCTTAAATAATAATGTATTTAAGCAACGGTTACAGAAATAAAATTCATAAGCTCATAAACATAAACACACAATATGTTTCACATACTATGAACATTTTAGTCCATTACATTAATATAAAGTATCATATGTCGGCCATTTCTTCTCTTTTCCCTAGGTTTCAATGCTATTTATCGAATATTTGAAATAATGTCGTTGGGTACATGAAACTTTAATCTTTTCTAACTTGTTTACATATAAGATTTTGAATAGACATATATAATCTTGCAAATTGATGCAGTTCACTATTTCCCATTACTTATATTCACTGTTGCAGTCAACTTTTTCGTGTCACAATGTTGCTTATCAACAATTGAAAGGCAACAATGCAATCTGAAACAGTCATTTAATTTTACACTGTATTACAATGTTTACAGTATACTTACACATACTATTACTAAATGTTCATACTTTTCTGTATAAGTTTTAGAAAATTTGGTCTTTGTGCACTATTTCTGCTAAGGATATTTCCAAAGATATATAGGTTTAGAAGCTAGATGGGGACATTTTTGGAGCTGCCAGACAGAAAAATTTAGTAGTAATATTTGATATATTTTGGGAAATTAACGAAATTTTTCATAATTATGAGTAGTGTTTTTCGAAATTTTCCTAACATAACCATGATAACGGTGTGCTAAATTTGTCATCCATTATTTTTTTGTTGTTGTTGAAAAGCTACATGTATTACTTAAGAATGTCATATTTTTTTTATATAAACCAATACATGTATGTTATATCATGACAAATATGTTCTTTCTGACTGTATCAATTTGGCAATTATAAATATTGTAAAAATCAAAAACCACATTACAAGCGTACATGTTGCAGTTCAAATTAAGAGGGCAACAAAAGCAAACATACAGACAGGTAGCAACATTTATCAATATATGGTGGATTCAAATTATTGTTAACTGTATATATCATTTAACAGTACAGTTTCAAATCTTGTCATTTATTAATATTATTAATCTTTTCGAATTCCTTATAATTATGAAAAATTTCTTTAATTCCCCAAAATATACCAGTTTCCATGACAGAAAAACAAATATTACTAGTTAATATTCTGTCTGGCAGCTCCGAAAATGTCCCCATCTAGCTTCTAAACCTATATATCTTTGGTAATATCCTTAGCAGAAATAGAGCACAAAGACCAAATTTTCTAAAACTTATACAGAAAAGTATATACATTTAGTAATAGTATGTGTAAGTATACTGTAAACATTTTAATACAGTGTAAAATTAAATGACTGTTTCAGATATGTATGTGATAACCTATAATGCAATTGTACTGTGAGACCCGACTCTTAAACCGTTCGAATTGTCTTCCAAAACTAGAAAAAACATCAACGCGTTACTAAATGTTTGTAATGTAGCTATTTAAGAATTCACTGTTAAGAAGCGGAATGCATCTATACACATAAGTGATACGTATAGGATGAGTTAAAATGATATTTTTCAAAAACCTATGCAACACATAAACAATATGAAACAAACATGTCATTGATATAGATATACTCTGAATTCTTGTTGGTGTACTATAGAATATAATAAACAAAAAGGAAATCTACTTTATTAAATCTGGATAGTACAATAACAAAATATCTCTTAACTATACAGACATGGTCTATTTCGGCTCTCTGTTACAACTCTACGTGACATCTAGTTCTGATTCATGGAGGATTTAAAAAAAGAAATTCATGAAGGTAGGGCTGTTGCCGTGGTTTGATACTTTATTGGTTTAAAGTATTATGTTTTTTTTTAATACGCGAGACAAAAAGCAAACAATATAATCACAGAGAAAATTTTAAACTTGATGTATCAAACCTTTTTTTATGATCCGCGTCCTTAAATTTCTGCCGGATTTATTCAAAGTTCCAAATCTCAATGAATATCATTTGATTTCTTAATGCTTCATTATTGTAAATAAAACGACATCACCCGAAGTCCTGAAACGGTAACAACTTTAGAAACAATCGTCTATACATGTAGACAATTTTGAAATTATTATATTAAAACCACTGTTACCGATGTCTTTCAATATATTTAATGGAATAAAAAACGGCAATAGGCATTGCATTTATATCGATTAATGAACTTATAAAACGATTAATTTCTTTCGGCACTATTATCCAAACTCCGTTCTATGGCACTGACGAATAAGCTAAGTTTGTATTATTCTGCGTATTGTTTTTCTTCACTTCAAAGTAGAGTGAATTCTCAAACGACTGTGATGAAGTTGGTTGACTTATTCCTGGATTTTGATTTGGTATTTCTTCTTTGTTGTTAGGTTCAGCTAATCTTAAATAATCAAAAATACAAGAAAATTATGAAGTACAATATTCTTTATGCTATTTCTCATATTAATATATGAGCAACAATGTGGATTTAACGTGAATATAATTTCAACAATAAACGTAGAGTTTGAAATGACACCGCAACGCTTGCTATATTAAATGATAAAAATTAAATCTTGTTGAATAATTTAAAAACAAAACTTTAAAGTGATTCACAATAACGATCGGGTACGATTGATGATTTAAGTGAATTTAGAAGAAGTTAGCAATATCCTTTAACTCTACGTTCCGCTACATAGATGATGTTCTCTCACTAAATAATACAAAATTTGGTGACTATGTTGAACGAATCTATCCCATCGAACTAGAGATAAAGGATACTACAGATACAGTTAAGTCTGCCTCATATCTTGACTTACATCTAGAAATTGACAACGAGGGTCGGTTGAAAACAAAACTTTACGACAAAAGAGATGATTTCAGCTTCCCAATTATGAACTTTCCGTTTCTATGTATCAACATACCAGCAACGCCTGCATACGGAGTATATATCTCCCAATTGATACGATATTCCCGGGCTTGTGTTTCCTATCATGATTTCCATGATAGATGATTGCTGCTCACAAGGAAGTTTTTAAACCAAGAGTTCCAAGTGGTTGAGGTCATCCCTTCATAAATTTTACGGACGCCATCACGAGTTGGTTGACCGTTATGGAATAACTGTTTCACAGATGATATCGGATATGTTCCTTATGTCGTAACTACAATACCCTCCCTTTTCACGAATGTGACTTACCGAATTAGACTATTTACCGGATTTGTAATAACATAAGCAACACGACGGGTGCAACATGTGGAGCAGGATCTGCTTACCTTTCCGGAGCACCTGAGATCACCCCCAGATTTGGTGGGGTTCGTGTTGCTTAGTCTTTGGTTTTCTATGTTGTGTCATCTGTACTATTATTTGTCTGTTTGTCTTTTTATTTTTGACTATGGCGTTGTCAGTTTGTTTTAAATCTATGAGTTTTACTGTCCCTCTGGTATCTTTCGTCCCTCTTTTAGAACCTTTCAATAACTTGGATGTTTTGTGCAATTGCTATATTGTTTTCCCGTTTTTTGTGTGAAATAATAATTGCATAAAGGTGTTATTTGTTCATGCTAATAATAGAAAGATGTGTTTAATGTTTCCCTGTTAAATTTTGGTTGTTCATGTTCTTTTGATTATAATTTTGATTGATAGGTATTGGTTTTTTTTAATTTCGGTATGTGGTTTGCCATATGCTTTTTTGATAATAGTCTATAAATATTAGAATAACACTTACTCAATGTACTTACTTTTTATGTTTGAAGCATATAAATATTCCCACAGCTATAATTAAACAGCAAACAACCAAAACTAGTATGACCACAACGTACCAGTATACATGCATAAAACTGTTTTTCTGGAATAAATTATTAACATAACAATATATCGGGTCCTCAATAGGTCCTCAATGCTCTTCAACTTCGTACTTTATTTTGCCTTTTTAACTTTTATTAATAGAGCGTCACTGATGAGTCTTTTGTAGACGAAACAAACTTCTGGCGTACAAAATTATAATCCTGGTATTTATATGATGAGTTTATTTATACAACAGAAAAGCACATTCACTTGCAAAATTAATAGGACTACATAAAATCTGAGATATATTGCAATTACCGATAATATAAAAAGGGGGAACTTATATTAAATTACTTTGTGTAGTGTAAAATGGTGGTATGATATGATTGGAATCAATTTATGCCCCAAAAAAACCACATAATATTTAGAACAAGCTAATATAGGAGGACACGTTAATACAACCGAAAAAAGGCTGTCTGTCACATCGTGACCTGGCAAAGCAATATACACACGTTCGATAACTATGTATCAATTGCAATCCAGACTTATGATTAATAAATACATACATGAGGATCAACTTCGTGTAAGTGAGCAATAGAAGATTTTGCTCGTACTATTGGCATATGTATATGACTTTCGATGATTTCCGTCGGTGTTTCGTCAAAAATATGCTGTATAAGTGTACTGTTTACTGTATGATGTCCATCCTTGGCTGACATTATGATTATTTCGCTGACAATATCCCTAATGAAAATGAAATGATAAGATTTGGTTATAATTTTACCAATTCCAGGCGACAATTGAAAAAGTGAAAACCATAAATTGTCTAGAAATAGTTGGGTTTTTTGCGTATTTTTACTAAATGATTAATACAAACAAAAACAAGTATTAATCTTACAAAGCGTCAGGAAACTCAAGATGTATTAGAAAAATGAAGAAAATCTTAATTTTGTTTAAATTTATGTGGTAGTTTCAGGTAAAACAAATATTGGATGGAGAGTTGTCTCATTGGCACTCATACCATATCTTCTTATATCTATGTAATTCAAAGTACCTACTACTAGGTGTTTAATATTGCCAAAAGCAGTCTATATTTTAATGGTTAAGTGTTACACAAACATTACGTAGAGAAGAAGGAGTGACTTTCAAATATGTTTATTCCACCTATTTGTGTAGAAACAACCTGCTGTTTGACCTTTCTCACCTTAAATGATAATAGGAATTACCAAAAATATAAGACACTTCTGCGCATGTTCCTACAAAGCCTTCATATGAAGGAACTATATATGACAAAAAGGTTGAAGTAACAAATCATGTTTTTTTTTGGTTTTTTTTTGCAATTTACCATATGTATAGTTGAAAGGCTTGTCCGACAGATATTTGAATAAAAAGACCACTTCCACATTTCATAGAAAATTCAGCAAATTCTAAAGAGCCTGTGTCGCTGACCTAGGTCTATGTGCATCTTCAAAAATGGATACTTTCCATCTTTGTAGAATAGAATAGAATTCATGACAAAAATCTCTTCTTTGTTGATCTAGTCTTGCTGATCATTTTTGCTTATTTAAGTTTCTATCTATCTAATATAGTTTTTCAGATAGTAGGCAACAACGCCAAAAAAATGTCAAAAATTGTTATTAAAGAGAACAACCCCAATAAGGGGTCAACAGACGATTTAAACCATGTTGGCTTATTTGTAGAACTTATCTTGCTGATTATTTTTGCTATATAAAGTTTCTCTCTATCCATTATAATTTTCAAGATAATAGACAAAAATTTAAAAGTTGGTATAATTAGTCATTTAAGAGCCCTTGTCAGATTTTCTCTATTTATAGTGGGTTTCAAGATAATAGACAAAACTTGCATTTTACCCCTATGTTCTATTTCTAACCATGTCGGCCATTATGGTTGGAAAGCGGGGTCAACGGACACATTTTGTAAACTAGATACTCTAATGATGATATGGGTAAAATTTGGTTAAATTTGGATCAGTGGTGTCAGAGAAGATCATTTTTATAAAAGTTAATGACGACGGACGACGGACGCCAACTGATGAGAAAAGGCCAAGTGAGCTAAAAAAGGGACTTAATTTTACAGAAGAAATCAAGAATACCACGAAAACAAAAACATCTTAATATATAATGCACCTAATCATTGTCTAAGGACCGAGTTAGTTGTTGTCAATTTATCAATTGTATTCAACTTTTCAACAGTTTTACCTTAAATTTAAACATTCACAAATCGAGCATTGCATTTACTTAAGAAGGAGATGTGGTATGATTGTCAATGTCACAACTATCCACCAAAGTTCAAATGAAGTGGATTTCAACAATCATAGACAACCGTACGGCCTTCAACAATGAGAAAACCCCATACCGTATAGTCGGCTTTAAAAGGCCCCGACATAAAAAATATGAAACAATTCAATTGAGAAAACTAACGACCTAGTTAATAACAAAACAATTTACGAAAAACAAATATGTCATACATGAACCAATGACAACCACTAAGTTACAGGCTCCTGACTTGGGACAGACACACATAGAATGTGGTGGGGTAAACTAGTTTGCTGGCGCCAAACCCTCCCCCATAGCCTGGGATATTGGTGTAACAGAACAACACAAAAACAAGCTATAAAAATCAGTTGAAAAGGACTTAACTCATCAGATCGATACAGAAAACATCAAACGAAATACAGACCGGACGTGTCAACGTACCAATACATTCCACAACAAAAAAAGATTCTAAGTAAAGATCTGAGAGTACTCGCTTTCACTGACAGCTAGTTCAAAGGCTGACAATAACAATTAATAAAAAAATCACGATCTTAGACTTAAATATCAATCAGTACACATCCAACATCCAATGGATTTAGTGTAAAGTCTTCATTAACAGTCAGAAAAAACATGAGCTTGTAAAATGCCAAAATATAGCTATGGACAGATTGTAGTACAGTGAATGTGTATATGTGTACAACAATAATATTCAGTATGTTTTTAATTTACTGATAATAAAATCAATATTTATACAATAAAAACAATATTCAAAGATCTTATTACAGTGTTGCATTGGTAACCTTTTATGATAAGTTTATTTAAAGGATTGATAAGTTTTCCCGGCTCGTATCTAAATTTCCGGGCTCGGCAAACAACATTCCCGTAAAAATTAGGATGTGCTATGCCGTTTGAGATAAGTTTTCTATAATTACAGCCACACTTGCAAACCAAATCTATGAATCTATGAAAGAATTTAATAAAGGTTTAATGTAATTTGTGGTAACGAAATCCCTGACTTAATAATTTGCCAGTTATATATAGATTACGCTCATTGAAATCCATAACGTCACTACAGACCTAGCACATGAGTTGTAATATATAAACACGGTAAGACGGTACCAAAGGATCATCGATGTCCAAAAAAAGGAAAATGCATGTTTTATGTTTCCTTTATACGAACATTATTCTTGAAAATGAAGAATTGTTACCATCAACAGGAATTTTACGAAGCAACACGTCGTTATGTCATATTTCAATTCTAAAGATATGTCCTATATTCCTTAAGTCGCATGAAAGATATGTCTTGCAAGTCAATGTCTGTATTTTACCGAAAACATAGCATCGTTGCAGTATAAAAAAAACAATATCAAAATTTCTAGCTTTTTTCTGGATTAACTTCGTCACGGATGTTAAGTTTAGAAAGTTAACGTAAACTGCATGTTTGTTAGCAACCAGACCAAACCTGGAGGTTGGTTTTGATCCTTTAATTTATACCTAGAATATGATGTTTTATATTTAAAGTATTGCAATAACATTGGGTAAGAAAAACAATGTTTTCTTCTTTTCTCTTTTGAAATACTCGAGTCGGTCGAATATCTGAAATAAATCTTAATTAAATCGTTTGCTGTAAATAAATATCAGTAATAATATGCATCAAACAATATGAATTGAAAAACGTATGTATAAAAGTTAGATTTAAATAAGAAAGAACAGTAAAAATGCAATACAAATAATGCAAGTAAAAACCGTATGCATTGTACATGTTCCTTAAAAGAGCATAATTTGTTTCTAATGTGCGAAAGAAATACACCGACTAGTACACATACTATTATAATCCAGAAGGAGTAAATGATCGATGTTATTTAATTTCAAGCTTTAAAAAAAATATTGGTCGGTTACCAATCTTTTATCTGTTTTTGAAAGGTCCTTCAAAACTGCAGATATATGCTAAGAAAAAAAAGACTTTATTCGCAAACAGTTCTGACACGCATGTGAAATATTTTTTAAACTATTCCGTGTCTTTCATTCTATGCGAAATCATTTTCATCTCTTAGTATACTATTTAAAAAAAATATTTTGTTATCAGATGTATAATTTGTCAGTGTAGGTCTGTTTTTGGTTCATGGAATGAAGGAACACCTGTCTACTTGTCTAGCCGTAACAATCTATTATTTAAACGAAATGAACGAGGATGTTCATTTATATTTTTCTTATTTTGATACAACTCTTTAACAGTTGTATATTATAACATAGTCTATCCAAATTTTTGGCAAATCGCCCCATTATATATCGGTTTCCGAAAAAACAAATGTTATAACGTACACAGCGACCTAGTTCGGTTTAGAAATCAGTTTGAGAACCGGATGATAGGAAGAACTTAGGATAAAAGAACAACTTACCCTACCGATGTTGTTTTCACCTTATACTGGATACTCAAATATAGCTGGTCTTTTACTTTCATTAAATCATACAATAAATTTCTAATTCCTTTCCCAACGATTTCTCTATTATTTTTATCCACCCTTCCTCTAACAGTCAGGTAAGGTCTGGTGATTGTCTCAGTTGTTGTTTCTATGTTCTGTTTGACTGTTGACGTTATTGGCATAGTCGTACTAGATAAAGATGTTGTTGTTTCTGTAGATTTTACAATATCTGTTTTATTGTTTGCATTGTCAACCGTTTGATTGGTTGTGTTAAAAGTAGTTTCGTCTATATGTGTCAATTCGGTTGAATTAAGTGCAGAGGAAACAGGTTCGATTGTTTCGTTTGTAGGAGTGGATAAAATCATCATGATCTTTGACTCCAATTTATCTTCACAGTATTTTCCCGTAAATGTAGAAGTGCAACGACAGTAAAAATCAGAATGTTTTATCATGCACGTTCCGCCATTTTGACAGCTTATATCAGCACACATATCAAATTCCATGTTACAAGTGAGACCAATAAATCCATGGGGACAATCACAAATCACATGACCCCGAACTATATTACACGTGCCGCCATTCATACATGTGTCAGGCTTACATGTGGCGTTAATAGATTCGTCGCAATTATAGCCTGTGAAATTAAAATAACTATGTATAATTATTATGAAATATGAAAAGATAACTCATTATTAACCGGGATATTTTGACCTGCAAATTACAAAGAACAAAGACATTGTGAGTATCACGCATTTTCTCTGAAAATGATAATATGATACTAGATATACATAAAATGATAATATGATACTGGATATACATAAAAAAATGATAATATGATACTGGATATACATAAAATGATAATATGATACTGGATATACATAAAATGATAATATGATACTGGATATACATAAAATGATAATATGATACTGGATATACATAAAATGATAATATTATACTGGATATACATAAAATGATTATACTATTTCATTACAAAACAAAGTTGTCTGGCGAAATTTCTTGCGAAGTAAGTCTGTTTCCACACGGACACTATCTGCGTCCTACAATAATAATTGAGGTCCTGGAATGCTTTTTTTCAGTATGTAATATGACGGTAGAAGAATGTCAGGTTTACATCAATAACAGTCAAGCAACGCTTGTTTTTGTTTATGATCAAGATGGTCGAATAATGCATGTTTTCTCTCTGGAATAAAATGCTGACGTATAGAAAAGTCATCATTCGTTGTGATTTATTGCATTTAAATCTTATTTTAATTGGTCTCTGATAAATATTAAATTTTTATTTAAGAAATGTACTGTGTTTTACTTCTATTGATTAATTTGCTTGAAGGTTAGTTCATTAATTGACTATTTGGTGAACAGGGTGAGAACCTTTTGAAAATTATCACTATTTTCGTTATGCCATCTAGTATACTGGCATTCAAATCGTGTTATAATACCTTTAAAACCATCGGGACATACACAACCATAACCGCTAGGAGTATTTATACATGTCTGAGACACATTACAAGACTGACATTCATCTATATTGCTTTCATCACAAAATTGGCCACTCCAACCTGTAAAGAGAGACAATATAATGTTGGTTTTAACAATATACTTTAATTCTCATTGACAGTAATTCACATATGTTACAGTGCTATCATGACAATCATAAATGGTAGTAGGTTTCATTTAAACATGTTGTATGTTACTGTGATCACAACTTGGATAGTCTTCTCTTAAATATGAATTTGTTGGTAGGAGGTCTTACCCCCAAGTGTTTTAAGGGATACACAAATACCTAACCGAAAGAAGTAAATTTAAAACTAACAAAGGTCATACCCCTGTCTCGGTCAAACACGAAATTCTTAACCGCACTCGCCCATTAACAACTGACATAAAATGTTTTAGGCATTGGAATTCCACCCAAACTGTTATAGATATGAGTTGATCATATGCTGCTGCATAAGATACATCTATAATCGAGACAGCTATCCTGCAGGGTCCAAATGAAGTGGATTTAAGCAACTAAAGGTCACCGTTCATCCTTCAAAAATGATCAAAACGTATTTGAAAACATGTCAATGAAGTGGATGGGTGGGTTTTTGTATTGTTGATTGCTCAAACGTGGCTTTAAACTCTATTAAATCGTATAGTGTTTTATCAATACGATAAGTATAATTCATACGATGCATTTTAGAATTAAAAAAAACACGTTGTCATAGACTTTTGTGTTCAAGCTTTTATTATATTGAAATAAAATTATTGCATATTGTTATATTTTAAATCTCAAAAGGATGTGTTGCTTGTATATATAATAAAAAAACAAAGGATATGGGGTATCCAGTCATGACAGAAAATCAGTACATGCAGAGCTAAAAAAAAAAACACACAAAAAGCCAATGAACAGCGCTTTTATTGCTGTTCTTTATCTCAATGTCACAGTGAGGCCTTCAACACGGAGCAAAAAAATCTCACCTCACTGCAAGTTTCAGACGGCCCCTAGCATCGGCTTGAGCGGAATTCTTTTCAAAAATAATTTGGATAGACTTTGTAAAAATTACACCACCTAATGGGGCCCGGTCAAAAAAGAACATACTGGAAAGTAGAACATATTTAAAACAAAATAGTTCCTTCGCACAGGTGTACATCAATTTTAAATTTAAACGTGGATAGGAATAAGGACCAAGAATATGTGGTGTGCGCCTTATTAAAATTTTAGTATACCAACTGTCCTAAAATTGAGAGAATGATGTTGCACACAAAAAGAGAAGTTATATGGAACAAAACCTGCTTGTTCTTCTGTAACACCTTATTTTGCATTCAGTTTTATTTGAGTTTTAGTCGCCCAATCTTTTCATTGGACTATTGATTATTGGTTTTCATATTTGTCTTGTTTTTATTGGCTGTTTAGGTTGCCCTTTTATATGTCTTTGATTATCTACCGAAATAAGATTGAGTGAAATTGCTACATTACAACTATTTCGTATGATTCATACATTTTTACTTTATTTTAGGTAGGTACACTGTATATAGTCTTTGATTTTAACATCTATTTATTAGCTGTTTACCTGGATCACATATCTGCATTCCAGTTGTCGAGTCACATTTATAATGTCCAAAGTCTCCATCAGACGGCTTACAAAATATCTCACAATGTTCTCCATAATAGAATTCATCACAATAAACCTTAACATTGTATGTTAAACTGAAAAAAAACCCTGATACTTTCTAAAAACTTCGATGATTGAGGACTGTTAATGTAAATATATATATCAATGATACATGTGTGTACGAATGTTTTACTTGTATTCTTAAATTATGTCTTTCGTATGTCTTAATATGGTGTCTTCTGGCTATTCCTACATTTTATATTTTACTATTCTGGCTATTCCTACATGGGAGATTATGGGAAGAACAATAGATGTTGTTATTGCAAAATATGTTGTTTTAGTCATTAGTGTCTAATCAGGTCACAGGTAACTTAAAAAAAAAATTATAATTATTTTAATGAAATTTATGTAAAAAAAAAATGGTTGTCTTTTTATTTGTTTGAAAACATGTATCAAGTGTTATAAGTAAGTGTTTCTAATATGGAATTTCTTGAAAATAAGATTATTTAAAAGAAAAGGTAGTAAAAGCATTCAGTAGTCTGGAAAATAAAATTATTTAAAAGAACAAGTAGTAAAAGTATTTAGACTAAAAGTCCGGAAAAGAAACTATTTGAAAGAAAAGGTATTTAAAGCATTTGATAGTAACCTACACTTTCAACTTTAGCTTCAAAGATTTAATCAATTTTGTTATTTGAAAAAAATATGATTTTTTAAACAAAAACAGAAGGTTTCCAAGAAAGAGAAAATACAGAGAAATAGATGACAGACTTTATGACGTCTTTCCTCTAAATCCATTGGATGTTGGATGTGTACTGATTGATATTTTAGTCTTAGATGCATGATTTTTTTTATTAGTTGTTATTGGCTTTGAACTAGCTGTCAGTAACTGCGAGTACTCTCAGATCTGTACTCAGTGTCATTGTGTTGTGGGGATGTATAAGTACCCGTCCACGTCCACTCTGTGTTTTTGTTAGATGTATTTCTATTTGTATCCATCTGATGAGTTAAACCTTTTTCAACCGATTTTAATAGTTTGTTCTTATGTTGTACTGTTACATCACTGTCCCTGGTTAGGGGAGGGTTGGCGCCTTCAAACGAGTTTAACCCCGCCACATTCTGCGTGTGCCTGTCCGAAGTTAGGAGCCTGTAATTCAGTGGTTGTCTGTTGCTGTGTAACATATTTGTTTTTTGTTCATCATTTTGTACATAAATTAGGCCGCTAGTTTACTCGTTTGAATTGTTTTACATTTGTCATTTCAGGGCTGAATGCCGTACGTCGACCTATAGTTGTTAATTTCTGTGTCATTTGGTCTCTTGTGGAGAGTTGTCTCATTTGCAATCATACCACATCTAATTTTTATACGACCGCAAACAAAAAAACCCCAAAAGGGGCCAAAAAAAAGCATTTTTGTAACTTCCAGACATAACTTGTGTGTTAGTGTATGGATCTCTCTGACATTGTACCATAAGGTTCCATATCACAAAGGGAATGCTGGGATTGATTTTGGGGGTAATTGCCTCAAAATTTAAGGAATTAGGGGCCAAAAAGGGGCAAAAAACAAGCGTTTTTCTAGTTTCATGACAATAACTTGTGTGTAAGTGTCGGGATCTTTATGAAATTGTACTACAAGGTTCCATATCACAAAGGAAAAGCTGGAATTGAGTTTGGGGGTAATTGCCATAAACGTTTAGAAATAAGGGGCCAAAAATGGGCCAAAAATAAGCATTTTTCTAGTTTCCAGGCAATTACTTTTGTTCAAGTGTATGGATCTCTCTGAAATTGTACTACAAAGTTCCATACCACAGAGGGAAGGCTTGGATTGAGTTTGGGGGTAATTGCCTCAAAATTTTAGGAATTAGGGGCCATAAAGGGGCAAAAAAACAAGCATTTTTCTAGTTTCAGGACAATAACTTGTGTGTAAGTGTATTGATCTTTATGAAATTGTACTACAAGGTTCCATATCACAAAGGGAAAGCTGGGTTTGAGTTTGGAGTTAATTGCCTTAAACGTTTAGGAATTTGGGGCCAAAAAGGGGCCAAAAACAAGCATTTTTCTAGTTTCCAGACAATAACTTGTGTTCAAGTGTATGGATCTCTCTGAAATTGTACTGCAAGGTACCATACCACAAAGGGAATGCTGGGATTGATTTAGGAGGTAATTGCCTCCAAATTTTAGGAATTAGGGGCCAAAAAGGGGCATAAAACAAGCATTTTTCTAGTTTCATGACAATAACTTGTGTGTAAGTGTCTGGATCTTTATGAAATTGTACTACAAGGTTCCATATCACAAAGGAAAAACTGGAATTGAGTTTGGGGGTAATTGCCCAAAACGTTTAGGAATAAGGAGCCAAAAAGGGGCCAAAAATAAGCATTTTTCTAGTTTCCAGACAATTACTTGTGTTCAAGTGTATGGATCTCTCTGAAATTGTACTGCAAGGTACCATACCACAAAGGGAAGGCTGGGATTGAGTTTGGGGGTGATGAATCATAAGGGGTTCAAAAAACGGGGGGGGGGGATTTTTTTTCATTGTTTTTCTTTTAAATTTTTCATTTTAAATTGGTTATTTCTGATTTATATATAAAAGCAAATAATAATGATAATTATGGTTTGAATAGTTAAAAATTTTTAAGTTCTTAGACCACATTCATTCTGTGTCAGAAACCTATGCTGTGTCAAATATTTAATTACAATCCAAATTCAGTGCTGTAACAAGCTTGAATGTTGTGTCCATACTCGCCCCAACTGTTCAGGGTTCGACCTCTGTGGTCGTATCAAGCTGCGCCCCAGCGGAGCATTTTTTATTATTCGAACACTGAAAACAAGGTTACAGAATGATAAACTTACGCGAGTCCAGTATGGGGATGCTGCTTCTCATCTACTGCACATTGATTAAGACTTTGTATTCCCTTGTGTGTTCAATTTAGTGCAATGTTTTACTGTGTTAGTGTCTGTTTTAATGTCAATTTAGTGTACTTTTCGGTGCTTTGTTTGAATGAATAATTACTACCATTTTGATATATTTATATTTCAAATGATATTATTTACTTACATATATTAATATTTTCACCTAAATAAATTCAATTGCTCGTGAATGACCTTGTGCCTATAATTTCATATTGTGCTTTTGAATAGTATTTACACAAAGTGCATGTGCTATTAAACTGTTAAATAAAATATTGTAATAGAAACTATTCTTTTTCTTTATTTTCCACAAGATTTACCTGGATTTACCTTGGTTCATTAGTTTAATGTTGTTACAACATAATCCTACATAATCACATTGTTTACATAAAAATTCTGGGAACTCCAACATAAAATTTTACTATTTTACCTATAAAATTCAAAATGTAGGAATAGCCAGAATGAACCCTTAACATAGTAGTAGTTCCGTTTTTGACAACAATTAGATATGCACCACGCTATAACCGATTACAGTCTTTGATTTTCAAAATTGTTTGTTTCAAATGACAATTTATATATTTGTTAACATATAAATATGAATAATAAATTTTATAATATTACCAGTCCTTATTTATTAAATAGGGAACGCTAAAGCATGAGAGATGACGCGGCTACATGTTCGTACTCAAATTCTTGACAATTGCTATCAATCCCATTATTATCTATGTAAGTCACGGGTTTATCAATTTACGAAATGCTTGTAAGTTCAGATAAAATGTGTTAATATCGGAGATTTTTCTTCTATCATATGATTTACCACTGGTAATAATTGAAAAAGATTATGAAATCAATATCCTACGACAAAATGGGAAAAAATGTAAAAAGATGTTACAACTCACAGTGTTCTTTTCTTTATTTGGAATGCTGCTACAGGGGCCTCCAGTTTAGATCTGGCGGCTTTTAGACCAAACACATCACTAAGGAAATCTACATAATCATTGTTATTGTCATCTACATCCCATACTTCTACTTTCAGTTTCAGTTCTCCCTGTACAAACAAAGGTATCTTACGTTTCACTTTGAACATGGTTTACACAACTTGCATATATTTTCATACTTAGCTCAGTATTTAGAGCTCCAAAAAATATGGAGTGTTCATTTGTTCGTCTGTCAATCTGTTACACATTCTAGTGATATCAGCACTTCTTTTATTTTAAATGCAGGGGATTATAATTCAGGATTACATATCATAAGTAGAAACACAACATTGACTTTAGATTTTAAATTTAATGAATTTTGAATTAAAAGACAAATGAGCTTTTGAAATTTGAAATTTGACTTTTTACATAGTAAATATAAAAAAGAAGATGTGGTATGATTGCCAATGAGACAACTCTCCACAAGAGACCAAATGACGCAGAAATTAACAACTATAGGCCACCGTACGGCCTTCAACAATGTGAAAGCCCATACCGCATAGGCAGTTATAAATGACTCCAAAATGACAAATGTAAAACAATTCGAACGAGAAAACTAACGGTCTAATTTATGTACAAAATAATGAACGAAAAAGAAATATGTTACACAGCAACAAACGACAACCACTAAATTACAGGCTCCTGACTTGGGACAGGCACATACAGAATGTGGCGGGGTTAAACTAATTTGACAGTTTGTTTTCGATCTATGAGTTTGACTGTCCCTCTGGTATCTTTCGTCCCTCTTTTGAAGATGAACATATGTATATGTATTTGGATGTTTATTTATTTTCAAACTGACTAACTAGCATCTTTAGAATTAGGAATTTTAACATGAGGTAGTGTGATAATAATAAGGTTCCTTACATTTCAAATATAGAAATTTCTTTTATCCTTTAGTTTACTGATACATATAGATTCTTAAATTGGAACCAGTGGATTATTAAGAATTATCCAATCGACATAGTTAAATTATCGAATTTTAAAGTCTGAGGCTCGACGAGGACTTTAAAATTGATAATTTAACCATCGAGATTGGATAAATCCGATAATACACGAGTAACTACGTAAGAATCTGTTTCTCTAATGATTATCAAATAAATAAAGTGAGCTTATAAAGGTTATGATCCTTAAATCAGCCGATCATCTTCTGAGATCATCGGCAACCACTCATTGGTTAAATTTTTTTATACAATGGTTCCAAAAAGGATTAAATTACCAAAGAATCAGAGAAATGTTAATACAATGGTTTAATGCTATATCTAATGTCATTTATGATGTAACTATAACGTCAAAAGCTTGAAAAATATAAACAAGCTTTTCATAACTGACATATTTGTCCACAAAATGCCATTTTTACAACTAAGGAAGTGCAATGAAATATGATAAGAGCTACAACTACCAAACTGTTATGTCACTTCCATCGACATAATTGTATTAGTAATTTTTTTTGTTAGGCTGTGGCTCATACCTACATAATAATAAGATAATTTCAAAAAGAGACAATATTGGCAGTTTAAAAAAAATTGTTCTCTTAAAAGATGTCAAAAGGCATGAAGCAAAACTGCAATTAAGATTTACGTATAGTGTTAATGATCCCGACAAATAAAAGGAGATGTGGGACAAACATCAATACGAAAACCAAAACACACTGAGGTTAATATACGGTCTTCAACATTGACATGTTCCTTAACCATATTTTAAGTTTTAAATCGCACAAAGTCTAAGTCTAATCTAGGGCTAAAAGCATCTAAGGTCTGCTTACAAAATGATTTTCCTAGAGGACACAAGCAAACATTTATATGTAACTAGAGAAATTCTGAATATGAAAACTATGCAAATTTTACAGAAAAACGGGGTTAAACTCGGCTGTTTCGTGAGCTCAAGCAGTCTTGCTCCCCTTTATGTACCCATAGGGTTGATAATGTCGAAAGTTGCAAATGAAATATAGTTTGTGGCGCAAATGAAAGATTTTTTTTGGTGCAAATGAAATGACAATTGGCGCAAAATCAAAGCACCGATTTATATACTCACCGGCCAAGAGTCAAAGAGAATTATAATAGGATTACGTATGCCTGCTATAGACGATCCGAATGTCACAATATTACTGTTCTGGATCTCTCCTGAATCTTTATGGTAGTATGGACAGGTATGGATATCTTCTGGTCTAAACGAGAAACCATGTAAAACATACAATGTACGAATCTAACGAAGACAAGATAAATAATAGCATTGCATTTGCGTTTATAACAGGTAAAATACATTGATTCATGACCCCATGATTAAAATTTTATACAAGTAAATTGGATGCATGTGTTTAATCTTGTAAATTTCAGTAAGAATATATGTCAATCATTTAATTGAACGCTAAACCGGACCAAATCATAGAATAATGCAGATAAACATAAACCAGTAATATAAATTATGCAAATTATTTTGTCTACCATATTCAGGAGATCCGTCATGTTTTACCGGCTTAAGTCACATGATCGATCGTCAATCAATTATAAATTTCTTCTCTGGATTAAACAGGAACATCTGGCTTATTACCGTGTGATTTTTGTAATTTTTGTCACAGACCTACTTTTCTGAAATGTCTGGCCATGATACAAAGAACGTTAATACTTATATTAGAAGGATGTAAAACTTACAAAAAACTACCTCGAGTCGATACATAGGCTTTTTTAAGGGGGTCAGAGACCCCGGCCCCACTTTATGGAGCTACATAGTAATATGTTTAATGCATAGACTTTTTACATGTTCCACTCCTAACGTTGCCTAATTTGCCCCCCAACCCCCCGCCTCACACCCATCCTTTCAAAATACTAGATCCATATCTGCGATAAACTGAGTTCCTGCATTTACTCAATCAAGATAGATAAAACTCAATTGATTCTTCTGATAATAGGACATAGATGTTCCTTTATCACAATTGATACTGTATACCTTACTCAATTCGTATTTAGAGTTTTCAAAAGTGTTATGCAACCAGTTGCACATTAACGATGGCGTAACTCCCATTTATGTTGACGTCATATATTCATAAAAAAAAAATCACACATCCACAATTAAGAATTGTGCATAATGATAATCAACATAAAATATTAGTAAAAATATGCAAATATTTATGACATAACAAAATTAAAGAAATGAATTTGACACACATAAAAACAGAACTGTTTGACACACAAGGTGACAGATATCTGGGATCCATACAATAAAGGTTTGCTATTAAGAACAAAAAGCAGTTGTTACTTAAGTGTGCCCATGATATACATACACTGATATATTCTATTTAAAAAAATGATAAGGGATCAACTATTTAACTTCAAGCAGGGGGGGTGGGTATGGTTTTTTGTCTGAGTAAATAAAAAATTTCGAACATTTTTTTTTCAGTTTTTCGACGCTATCAATCAAATTATTATTTTCAAAATTTAACACTATAAGGTATGGGGAAAATCTTGATTCAGAATATTTTTTGTTATCTGCTCGACCACAATATTTTTTTTCATCAAATTGGGGATCAGAATATTTTTTAAGGAAAAAACCAAACCCGCCCCCTCCCTTTGAAGTTAAATGGTCGTTCCTTAATAAATCTATACCAGTTTGGTCTCCAATTGTATGACTAATGCATTTAACAGACATAAGAAGTATTGTATTGTGTAGAAATATGTATTACCCATCTGGATCATCTATACAAACTCTAAACTTATGATCACAGTGACTGAAGCAGAACGGTCCCCTTCCATCACAGCAATGCCCATTTGAACCAACGCCTCCAGCATTGATGTATTTCAATAATCGGATTTCTACGATACCACTGCTATACACAGTCTGAAATACAAAATAATTATTGAGTAAAACACTTTTGTGCAAATGAATTAATCCAAGATAATCATGCTTTTTCTTTTTTTTTTAACATCTTTATTTGATTATCACAACTTAAAGGAGCATCATTGTGATTGTGTGAAATCATTGTTATATGAACATTGTAGTCATTGTGAAACACGATAACATATACTTCGGTATTATCTACAACGTTAACATACTGGTTACACATATTTTAGCTGATTTAAATTTCATCCTACAATACACGTGTATAACGTGTCCTTTTTAAACCATTGTTACTTTGAATTGATATTTCTAGAAACCTTGTCTTACAATTTTGTTTAAAAAAGGACACGTTATCGCAACTGAAATTTTCATTTTATTGATAAAAATTTGATGTGGTTGTTCTATTCGTTTTTGTTTTAAAATGTTGACTCCTCTGCGTGAAATAAAAAATGTCTAAAAGGCAAAATTAAGCGTGACGTCTTTGACTGTATTAACCATTATTAACGTTATTTTCAATGGGTTTGTTTTTTATAGAGAAATGCCAAATACACTTGAATGATTTATACAGCAAAAAAGAAGAGGGACCCCTAACGGTTAATGAAATGGAATATTCTATTATTATTACTTTTTTTATTATTATTATATTTGTTAAGATTATTACTAATTCTTAATGATTAGTTTTAAATGAATAATTAACATGCTATACGATCATACATGTACAAAAATGTACCTATAACAATTTTTATATTTTCTTAAATTCCTCTTGTACAAAGATGTGTAATATAAACAATTATATAATTATAAGATCAAATCTTTCATGAATAATTAAATTCTTTGGCAAGTACAGGGAAAGAAAATTAATCGTCTTCAGAGAAAAACACACGAGCAGTGTCACCTAAGAAATTGACGCAAATTTTCACAAAGCTGTTTATATCACAATCCATATCTGGACAGTTTTCTATGACAAGATTTCTTCGTTGGTGGTTTAATTTTGACATTGTCATGGTAACATTTGGAATTTAAAATTGTTTTATTCCAAAACCTTAATGATAATTTGGTCACATTTGCAAATCTGTCTAGAACTTTCGCAAAATTAACAGATTCATTGATAGATTGTTGCATGCTTAATGTTCAGTTGCAAATAGTTCATGCATATGCAGGACAAAAACAAATTCATAATACAGTAGTTAGTTTCTGGGAAGTTGAAAATTTAATTATACTGATAAATGAAGGTACATTTGTGTATGTTGAATTGGGGCAGACATTTTGACTCACAACAGGTCAAATGCTGACCCCAGAGAGTTATTACAATTGTATTGTAGCTATCGGATTTAACGTCCCAATTCCGACCGTCCACAGATGTCATTTCATGAACCCAATTTCGACTAATTTCATGCATCCCTCACAGTCAAACGAATGCCTCTATTTAGTAAGGGTTTACTGCCTGGCAGGAGAAATTCAGGTATGACCATATTTCTATATACAAATCAACCATTTAGGTCGCAAATAAAACAGGTTAAAATAATTAAACAAGAGATGATCAAAAGTTTAAAAAAGTGCAATACAATTCTAATAAATGATAATGAATATTCAATATAACGAAGACTTTTCACATTTTCTAACCTTTTAATGTCAAAAATAAGGTCTCAGTGACACAATAACAGATTGACAAGCACTTTTATTCTATTTTTTGTTTGAAATATCATATCTGTCAAAATGAAATAAATCCGAAAAATATACAAGTTGTTTATTGTTTATATGATATATAATTCACATGCCATAACTATTATGAGTCATCAATAGCAAGAATGACTAAAACTAAAATATATGTACGAGGTTTAATTGAAATCCATTACATGTACAATGAACTTTCATGTTAAACACAAAAAAAAGAAAAAGGCTTAGACTTAGACATACTTATGGTGCGTCCCTTCTTTTATTGTAGTATAATTGTATACTAATTTCTCTGTTACATTATGTTTATAAGAATAAAAAAAATATTCATTCCGAATAAAGGAGATGTGTAGAATATCTTTCAAGCCATGCTTAAGAGTTACTGCATGACATTAACCTTATCTACGGAGAGTTTGAACAGATATGGACACTTTGCACTTCCATGGATCTGTATTTCATGTTTGATATCAGTTGAAGCTTTTGTCGTTATGGTTTAATTTGTGGGATACACCTCTTAAATATGTTCTTAAAACACTTTAAAGATACAGGATTATAATTTTATATTGATTGATTGATTGGTTGGTGTTTTAACGCCACTTTTAGCACTATTGTGCTACTTCGTGGTGATCATTTTTTATCAGAGAAGGAAGCCAGAGTGACCGGATGGAACCACCGACCTACGGTATGAAAACTGACAATCCTAGTCAATTAAGGTTTGAGTCGAACGCACCTGCCACGTGCCGGATTCAAAATCACAACCTCAGTGTTGACAGGCTGGTGATACAGTAGTTCGACTACTTATGCTATTCGGCCACCGAGGCCCCTACAATATGATACGCCATAAGCGCATAGAGATTTCTTTCATTTTGACGAACGACTGAAACGGGAGCGCTTATTGCAAAAGATATATTTTCATTTTTAAGACAACACTAAAGTCGATTTGCTATAATACAAAAACAATAGTGACATATCCACGAAATAAACCGCTGTCAGTTGGAAAACCAGCCTCTTTTGTTCAAATATACACACTACTGTATTTTAAACCTCCTCGGTGGTTTCGTGGTAATATGTTCGCCTCGAGTGCGGGAGGTCGTGGGTTCTAGCCCCGGTCGGGTCAAACCAAAGATTTTAAAATCGGTATTTGCTGCTTCTCCGCTAAGCACGCAGCATTAATGAGTAAGAGCAAAGAATGGTCGGCTCGGAGTCAGAATAATGTGTCCGGGTAAGGTGACATGTCTTCCTGCGGAGTGTTACATTGTGAACTAGCACGTTAAAAACCCGGCTCAGCGTGTAGGTCTAGTACAAAGCAGGGTTAATATTCATATTACATTAACATGTTCTCGTCCTGAATATGCATATTAATATGCCGCTGGACGTTAATCAGCCATCCATCATCATCATTACACTATTTAAAAATAAACAGCTGCGCCATGAGCGTATGATACGCCCGTCGTCTTGTGTGTGAATTTTTATGCAATAAGAATAATAGTTTCTGACATACGGCGTGACATGCGAAACCCCCCTTTTTTTTTTACAAAAAACTCAATATCTCAAAAATAAAATTTTGAATCAAAATCAAAAAGTATACAGATCTTTAGATTAATATAACTAAGAAGTGTGTAAAATTTTAAGCAATAATCATAAACTGTATTTGAGATACGGCGCGACATGTGAAAAACCCCTCCCCCTTTTTTAACAAAATACTCAATATCTCTAAAATAAAATTTTGAATCATCACCAAAAAGTATACAGATCTTAAGATTGATATAACTAAGAAGTGTGTTAAGTTTTAAGCAATAATCATAAAATGTTTTTGAGATACGGCGCGACATGTGAAAAAAAACACACACCTGTTTTAGTTACTAAGTCCCGTAACTCAAAAAGTTTTAATCTTATTTTCACCAAAAAGTATACAGATCGTTTGACCATCATAAGAAACAACTATGTTAAGTTTCATGAAATTTGGATAAGTCATTCTCAAGTTACGGTGCGACATGTTTACGCCAGACAGACAGACGGACAGACAGACAGACAGACGGACAGACAGACAGACAGACAGACGGACGGACGCCGGACATTTGTATACCATAATACGTCCCGTCAAAAATTTGACGGGCGTATAAAAACAGATGACATTTTCCCGCCATATCACCCCAATCGGCAACACCGTATCTCCCGAAAGTATTGATTTTTTTGTCAATAAGTGTAACACTATACGACGATCGGATGCCTTTCATTACGCATGTAAACAAATTCAGTAGTACTGAAATGATAAAACAATAATACAAAAAACAAAACAAAAGTAAACAAATGCTGAAGCCACCTTGCAGTGTAATGGTATGCATGTTATTTTTTTCATGTTTACGAGGTAAACAAAGAGAAAAAAGTTGTAAAATTTGTATGCTTCTCTTCACTAGAATACAAATACATGTATATGATGCACGAACAACAAAAAAAAACAAAAAAATGCTACGTTAATGTTTAGACATTTTATTGTGGTCAACCTAAAAGCCAGATGGCTGTCATATAGTAAGTTTACCAAAAAACTAGGTCCATTGTATTGAGTATATATCATGTCAAATATTTACCGTAATAATAAATGAAAAGGAAATGTAAGTATGTATACGTCACTGCGACAGTTACCAAATATCACGGAAAAAAACAGACAGCTAGAGGTAAATTTTAAGGGGGTCTTGATGGGGTTTACAGAATAGAGAATAAAAGGCAAAACCTGCGAAAAAAGGACAAGAAAAAAAAGGAATAGAGAATAGAGAATAATAGGGTGCCTAAATATAAAGAATAGAGAATAATGAGCAAAATAAATAAATAATAGAGAAAAAATGGTCTAACAACTAAAGAATAAAGAAATGAAGGACCACCATCCAGACCCTCACATAGGTCTTCAACAGTTAGAAAAATGTAGATCGCTAAATCAGCCTGAGTCAGGAAAAGTTTCGAATAAAATGAACAGAGTCTTGAGGTCCTCTCATCAAAATTAACACGAGTGTAAGAATGACGCGTTTCATTTAAGATTAAACGACTGTCCATGTACATGAGTATGCATGGATGTGGGAGTTTAAATTTAAGTACATTTACAATGATAAAAGACAACTCATTCCATGCATGAACTGAATATAAATTTCTTCCTTAAATGTTTAACCTCATCATTTCATTTTTCATATCTAATTAGTCTTGTTAAAGACCAAAATGCTTAAGCAGTTTGTATAACCGGTTTGATGTACATTTATAAAATAGTTATGCAAAACAATGCATGTATGACTACCTTAACAATACGACTCATTACATAATATTGTCATGTTTTTGTC